TTGATGCCTATCTGAAAAAAAAGTAAAATCTCTTTCTTCCATATTTCTCTCTCTCCAAATGTCTTTTAATTCCAGTTCATCCTTCAAATCAAAAAAAGTTTTAGGCAATAAAGAGTTAAATGTTTTACAGGAACCTTTCTTGTCTCTTCTTTAATCCAAAACACCATTCCAATCTCCCATCATAATAACCGAATTATAATCCATTTGATTTAGTTTCCGATGTAGCAATTTGTAAAACTGTTTCTGCTGTTGATTTGGTGCGTACAATCCAACAATCAAACATTTTTTCCCATTCAGTAGTATATCAATAAAAAACATATCTTCCTTCCAAATCAGATTCAATCAAATTAGGCAGCAACTCACTCTTAACATAAATAACTACCCCACCTCTCTTCTGAGGTGCGGGCGCTATAAAATGTGTACCCAATCTTGGATTAATCAAATATTTTTGATCCTTAGCTGTAATATGAGTTTCTTGCAAACAAATAACATCATTTTTATGTTGTTTCAAATAATAAAATATTTTCTTTTCTGTGGAGAATTCAAACCATTAACATTCCATGTCAGGAACTTTGCCATCTTTAGTGGCAGCGAGCCTCTGGAATGCTCCTTGCAAATCAGCTATTACTGATCTTTTCGGTCTCGCTCCCCCCACTGACTCTGAGATAACTTGCTGTGTTGTAGGTATCACCTCCAATTGTTGTTGCTCTCTCTCTTTGCGTCTATGAGCTGCACGAGTCATTCTCTGTGATTTTGGATCTTCTTTCATTTCCATAGATTGCTGCTTGACTTGACCTTGTTCTTGTGAATCTTTAATACTTGATGATGATGTAGCTCCTTCAACAATTTTATCTTCTCTGGTTCTTTCCTTCCTGGAATCTGAAGATGGTGGTGAACCCGCTTTCAAAGTAGAGATATAAAAATCCCTTGCCTTTGCAACAGTATTGAGTCTATAGTGGGTTCCCATATAAATGACCATTATCCCAATAGGTATCTCCCATCTAAATTGAATTTGTCGCTTCTTCAATTCTTCAGCCAAGAAGGCAAAATCCTTCCTTCTTTTAAGTATTTTAGATGGTATCTCCTTCAAAATTATAACATCTTGACCTAGTACTTGAAATTTTTGATTGTAAAAAGCTTGAATAATTTGATTACGAGTAGACTTCCTAGAAAAATAAATGACAACATCTCTTGGAAGGTTCTTCTGTCTTGCAACCCATGAGTTAACTCTAAAAAATTTTTCAACATCTCTCATAATTTCTTCAGGTTGGCAGAACAAGACCCCAGCCAGATCTGCTGCAATTTCCTCCAATTTCTCTTGAGCATTTTCTTTCAGCCCTCTTATTCTCACTGCGTATTCCATTTCCCTATATTGTGACAAAATGACCTCATTCTGAATTGAATCCACATTCTCCTCCACTTTTTCCATTCTAAAATCCAAACATTCAAGATTTTCCTCCACTTCATCCACCCTTCCTTCAATACGTTCTGCATACCCAGCTAAGCCTTGCAATGCTAACAGTATGTCTTCTCTCATCTCTACATTCTTCTCTTCAAGTTTCTCTTCAAGTTTCTTTTCAAACAATTCTTCCATTTCTACTCTCATTTGTCTTGCATTGTCCTTTAATGCATCCTTAATTACATCCTGAATATCTTCCAGTGTAAGTGCTGAAGCTGGGGGAGAAGGTGGGGGACTCCTTGATTTAGTCTGCTGTGGTATTTGAACAACAGAGGGGGAGATAATCTTTTGAGGAACAAAAGTTCCACGCTTAGAGGCCATTTTACTTTCTTCTTTTTTTTTCCTTCTTATATTTTCATTAATATATAAGATCTTATAAAAGTCTTTTAAAAATACTATAAAGTTTTATAAAAGCGCCCAGCAACAATAGAGGCAAAAAAAACCCTATTCAGTCAACACAATGTAGCTAATAGAAAGTCCAGGAGAAAGTTTCTGAAAAGTGAAAGTTTCATATGAATTCACAGCGGAGGAAAAAAGAAACACCCTTCCGCAGCCATATTCTTTACTCTTCAAGTTCAAATAAAAAAAAACAGAAGAAGATTCTATAATTTTAGAGTTAAAGTTTCAATAAAAGTCCCAGTCAGATCTTCCTGGCAACTCTGTCTGCCTGTAAAAGTACACTCACGCTCTCCTTGAAGGCAGAGATTGAATCCGCGTCTAGCTTCGGACAAACATTCGAACGAAGGTAGCCCGAAGAATGGAGAAGTCCCTAGCTCCGGGGAAGCTCACCTTCACCTCCACCACTTTAAAAGTATGGGGGCTAGAGAGCTCTACCCCTACGAGGGAAACTCACCTCTCCCCCTTTGCCCGGGGGAGAGGATTCCGAGCCGCGGGACAGCTGTTGTACGCTGTTTCCCATGGCTCACATTTCTTCGGGGAGGACAGCCTGCAGAGAAGCTGCCATCGGCGCCGGTGATTCAACCGGAAGCTGAAAGAGAAGGATTGACCAACAGTCACCTTAGCTGGTGTTGAAAGAAAAGTCTTCATCATGGTTCAGTCCAAGCCGGGAATAAACAGCATGGCGACTGCTTTAGAAAGAAGGTTGCAGTTTATTGAAGAGGAGAGCTAGACAGAAAGATGGCTCTGGAGGAAAAGAGAGCAAGCATATGTAGGGAGTGGGTTTTTATACCATCTTGAGCCTTTTGTTTGGAGTTGTTCCTGTGGCATGAAGTTTGACCTGAGTCTGAGTGTGCCCTTTGGCATCTGTGGGTTAATCCTATTATGTCCTGTCTAAGAGTTTGGGTGGGGTATGTAGATTTTAGATGTCTTTGTCTTCCTAAGCTTCTAGCTGGAGGCTTCCTACCTTCCTGGATTATTTATATCTGCATTTCTACAGAGCTGGTTTCTGCCTGGGGGAGGAGACTTGGGGCTATTAAGAAAACTGGGCATGCTTTTCTGCCTCTTTAAGATCCTTTGAGGAAATATAATATTTTGCCCTTTTAATATTTCCTTCTCGGGGGGGGGGGCTGACTTCCCACACTGATATTCATACAAACATCACCACTGTGTTTGGTTATGCCTTCATCCAGATCTTTGTGTCCCCTAATCTGATGCTCCCCCAGATAAATTGGAATTAGAGTTCCCAACCAGCATCATTCTAGGATTAGGAAAGTTGAAGCTTATCTATTATTTATATTTTTGTACTTGATTGTTTTAAATTAGGTAACTCTTTTTTTTTTACAGTATTATTCTTTAAAGGTTGTAAGCTTGTGAAAAGTTGTTCATAAACCTAATAAAATATCCGGCCTGTCTTTACATCATAGGCATCAATTCATTGGCAAAGAAGAAAATTGTAATTAATTCTAAAATGCCAGGAGTCATTTAGGGGAGATGGGTGGTGTATGATGAATAAATAAAACAGGAACTATTGAGTTGTGATTCAGGGCTATGAATTTGAGCAAGTGAAAAAATCTTTTTCAACATTACAAATTTTTTAAAAATCATTTTGAATTTATTGGCAAAACGTGTTGACGTTGTGTTGAGCCCAAGGCTGAACGGATGTCTTTTGCAGAGGTTACAATCCACGGTCAAACGAGGCCACTTTTAAGACTTGTGGACTTCAACTCCCAAGATTCCCCAGCCAGCTATGCTGGCTCAGGAATCCTGGGAGTTGAAGTCCACAAGTCTTAAAGTGGCCATGTTTGGAGACCCCTCCTGGTCCATGGGGTAGCGCAGAGTCGGACACGACTGAACGGCAACAACAACGGATTAAGCTCCGGAGTTTCCTCAGTCGCCTGGCTTCTACCACCTAAATCCGCCAGCCTCGCCTCTTGAGCTCTGCGGCCTTCAAGGGCGGTTAGCAGCCCCGGCGTCCCTCGACCCGCGCACCCCGCGAATGGAACCGCAAAAGCTTCATTCCCAGTGAGGGGGCGCGACCTCCTCCTCCTCCTCCTCCGTGGTCCCTCTAGGCTTCCAGACTCGCTTTCCTTAACCCTTGAGTGGAGACTCCAAAAGTCCCCCCTTCTTTTTTTAAAGGGCGCTTTCCAGTTGATATTTCTTCAACTATTCCAGCCTTTGGGGGGGGGAGCTATCAATAAAGGAGACTATTAATAAAGGAGAATATTTGTAGCTCAGGGTTGAAATGAGGGGCCCTCGGTGTTGTCTGAGCTCGCAGCTTGCGTTCTTGCAGACCTTTCATTAACCAAACTAGGTAACAACATCAGTGCTAGGTTGCAACTAGCACTTGATGTTATCTAGTCAGGCGAAGGAAGGAAGGAAGGAAGAAAGGAAGGAAAAGAAAGAAAGAAAGAAAGAAAGAGAAAGAAAGAAAGAAAGAAAGAAAGAAAGAAAGAAAGAAAAAAAAAAGAGAGAAGGGAGGGGAAAAAGGAAGGAAGGAAGGAAGAAAAAGAAAGAAAGAAAGAAAGAGCAGGGAAGGGAAGGGAGGGGAAAAACGAAGGAAGGAAGGAAGGAAGGAAAGAAAGAAAAAGAAAGAAAGGGAAGGGAAGGGAGGGGAGGGGAAAAAGGAAGGAAGGAAGGAAAGAAAGAAAAAGAAAGAAAAAAAGAGGGAAGGGAGGGGAAAAAGAGGAAGGAAGGAAGGAAGGAAGGAAGAAGGAGGGAAGGGAAGGGAAAAAGAAAAGGAAGGAAGGAGGAAAGAAAGAAAGAAAGAAAGAAAGAAAGAAAGAAAGAAAGAAAGGAGGGAAGGGAGGGGAAGAAGGAAGGATGGATTTACTGGGCGTGAGGATGGGAACAGGTGTCCCCCCGCCCCCCCGCCCCCCCGCCCCCCATCCGCAATAGAGTGCCGGGTGTGGGAAGGCGGCATCCTCGCCTTTGCAGGCTGTATCCCCGAGGAAGAGACTGGGAGAGAAGCTCCTCCCGGCTCTCCGGCCAGCGCAGGGTTAAAGGCGGCGAGGGGAGTCGTCCCGCCCCCTCCGTGGGAAAGGCAGCCCGGATTTTCCCACGCCCGGGAAGAGCGTTGCGCGCTTGGGGGACCGGTCCGCGATCGAAAAAACCGAGCACGGCTCCAGAGGGGATGATGATGATGATGCCGCTGGTCCAGGCCAGGTCTTCCCCTGGAGGGGTGGAAAGGGCTGCGGGGGAGCCCGATCAGGTAGGGGGGGGGGGAAGCGGAGAGGCAGCCGGCCACTTCTGCATCCGAGAGACAGAAAGCCCCCCCGCGGGTGTCCCCTTTCCCGGATTCTTGAGTGGGATCTCTGAAACGGGCCTCCTCTGGGATGTCTTATGTTGTAAGCTCCGAGTAAACGTGGAGTAGGCAACTCGAGGCCCGTGCGGATGTCGGAAAACATCCCAGAAACGTTTCTGCAGGGAGGTGAAGCTGCTTGTCTGTCACTCTGGTTTCTCTCCGCTGCTTTAGGGTGAATTGCGACTTGCTATGTGTCATTTCTAAATATATCGGTGTAAAAGTGCCGGAAGTTGGAGGTCAGAAGAGGAAGTAAAGATCCAGAGTACGTTGCCATGGATCCAGTTCAGCTTGTTGTGCAAATACAACTTTGGAAAGGTTTGCTCAACTGCAGGACTCTTGATTGTGGATCACTCAATCAGAATAGAGCTGGAAGGGACCCCGGAGGTCTTCTAGTCCAGCCCTCTGCTCAAGCAGGAGACCCTAGAACAGGGGTAGGCAACCTTGGCTCTTTTATGACTCATGGACTTCAACTCCCAGAATTCCTGAGCCAGCCATGGCTGGCTCAGGAATTCTGGGAGTTGAAGTCCATGCGTCATGAAAGAGCCAAGGTTGCCTACCCCTGCCCTAGAACATTTCACACAAGTGATTCTCCAGCCTCTTCTTAAAAACCTCCAGTGATGAACTGGCTCAGGAATTCTGGGAATTGAAGTCCATGAGTCATAAAAGAGCCAAGGTTGCCTACCCCTGCCCTAGAACATTTCACACAAGTGATTCTCCAGCCTCTTCTTAAAAACCTCTCGTGATGAAACGCCCACAACTTCTGAAGGCAAAAGCTGTTCCGCTGTTTAATTGTCCCTCACTGTCAGGAAGTTTCTCCTTAAATTCCAGGTTGGCTTCTCTCCTTGATTAGTTTCCATCCGTTGTTTCTTGTCCTGCCTTCTGGTGCTTTGGAAAATAAGTTGTGCCTACTTCTTTGATCAGGCTCTGGCAATCTTCGAAGAGGTGGCTGTGCGTTTTACAGAAGACGAGTGGATGTTGCTGAATGCAGATCAAAGAGTTTTACACCGAGAAGTCCTAGAGGAGATTTGGAAGACGCTGGCTTCCTTGGGTAAGGATCCTTTCCTCCTTTACTTGATTTTAAGGATCCCTAAGCTAGACATTATACCTTACAAGAGACTGTCATTCGTTTATTTCACCTTTACATCCCTCGTAGAAAAACAGGATATAACAAGATAACAGAGTTGGAAGGGACCTTGGAGGTCTTCTAGTCCAGGGGTGTCAAACTCAATTTCACTGAGGGCCGCATCAGCATTGCGGTTGCCCTTGGGGGGCCGGGTGGGTATGGCCAGAGTGGGTGCAACCTACTGGGTGGGCGTGGATGGAGTGGGTGTGGCCTACTGGGTGGGCGTGGCCAGTTCTACATCATTCACGTCAAGGGTGCCAGTGGGGGCCTGGGCAGGAGTGGGACAGATCTGAGGGTCTCTGGCAGAAGGGGGTGGGACCAGGGCAAGTGCCAAGGCATGGTCCACTGGGGCAAGTGCCAAGATGGCCACCACAAAATTGTACATTGGCTCCCGGTTGGTCTGGGCCAGGGCCAAGGCAGCAGGGGCCGTTCCCTCACTGTTTCCAGGATGGCTTCGTGGGCCACATGAAACCAGTTTGCGGCCTGCATCCGGCCCCCGGGCCTTGTGTTTGACATGTCTGTTCTAGTCCAACCCCCTGCTCAGGCAGGAAAACCTATCCCATTTCAGACAAATGGTTGTCCAATCTCATGTTGGAGCACCCACTTCTGGAGGCAATTTGTTCTAAATGTCAGGAAATTTCTCCTAAGTTCTAGGTTGGGTCTCTCCTTGATTAGTTTCCATCCATTGCTTTTTGTCCTGCCTTCAGATGCTTTGGAGAATAGGTTGACCCCCTGCTTTTTTGTGACGACCCCCTCAAATACTGGAACACTGCTATCGTGTCACCCTTCGTCCTTCTTCTAATTAAACTAGACAGGGGCTGCCATAAAGAAGAGGGAGTCAAGCTATTTTCCAAAGNTATTATTATTATTATTATTATTATTATTATTATTATTATTATTATTATTATTATTATTATTATTATTATTATTATTATTGTTATATCCAATTCCTGCAACCATTCTTCATATGTTTTAGCCTCCAGTCCCCTGATCATCTTTGTTGCTCTTCTCTGTACTCTTTCGGGAATCTCAACATATAAATTAGGATTGACTGCAGACGGGATTTTAAAAAATGGTGGCTGCAGTCATATGATCACAGCCCTTTCCATGCAATGATAGCAGTATTCCAGTATTTGAGAGGCTGCCACAAAGAAGAGTGGGTTAGTTTATTTTCCAAAGCACCAGAGGGCAGGACAAGAAGCAACAGATGGAAACTAATCAAGGAGAGAAAGAACCTAGAACAATGGTGGCGAACCTATGGCACGGGTGCCAGAGGCGGCACTCGGAGTACTCTCTGTGGGCACACGTGCCGTTGCCCCAGCCTTGCCTCCCCCCATGACCCCCTCCTCTCCAGCAGCCCCCCTGAAGGAGAGTCGCCCTCGAGCATGGCCCACATGGAGCAGCACAGCCAAGGACATGGCAGCCAGGCAACATAGACAAGACTCTGCCCTCACACCCCATCATGCAGTTGATGCTGCAGGGCGTGGGTAGAGGGTATGGCCGCCATAGCGTTGCTGAGCTGCCTGGGTGATCGGCGGGCCCTGGAGGCGGTGAGTGGTCGTGTGGGCAGGTGGAGTGGGGGATGGGGGGGCAGAGCGGGGGCAGAGCAGGGAGGTGGAGCGGGGCAGGGCCAGTTTTTGGGCACTCGGTCTCTAAAAGGTTCGCCATCACTGACCTAGAACTAAGGAGAAATTCCCTGACAACTAGAACAATTAACCAGTGGAACAGCTTGCCATCAGAAGTTGTGGGTGCTTCATCACTGGAGGTTTTTAAGAAGAGACTGGACAGTCATTTGTCTGAAATTGGATAGGATCCCTTGCTTGAGCAGGGGGCTGGACTAGAAGACCTCCAAGGTCCCTTCCAGCTCTATTCTAATTCTGAATTCTGAGGGGGTGGAATTGGTTTGCATATTTCTTCAGAAAGAATCATGTGTAATTTTTTTTTCTGTGCTCAGGTGTATACATTCCATGAATCAAATTTGTCCCTTTGAAACAACGATCACAGTTACTATATTGGCATCAGCTTGCATTGATGTCATTTGTGCATGCTGATTATTTTAATTTGGTTGGTTATAACAGCAAAAAGGCACTTGATTAGATAGAGACCTAATTGTACTACTGAGTAGGGTATAGCATTTCATGTGATGGACAGGGTTTGACATAATCGATCGGGTTAACCCAGAGATGGGAAAAAACCCCAAAAAAACTCAGGGAAAAAAAAACAAGCCTTTTCCCCGCTTCCCCCCCCAAAGCTGTTTTTTCCTGCAAAAATTGAAGAAGAAGAAAGAGAGGAATATGTAATATGTTCTTTTCCAATGATAAATAGCATATCTATGACATGGTATTCAAACTATATAACATGAAGACCTGAATGAAAGATTTCTGAGACGTTTTGTAAAGTTTTTAATAAATGCAAGTTCTCTTAGGGGTAGGCCACCTTGGCTCTTTTATGACTCGTGGACTTCAACTCCCAGAATTCCTGTGTTAGCTGTCTTAGCTGGAATACAATTCAAGTCACAAACACTGCACTTCCCAATGCAGTTCTCAAACAAGAGAAATATGCATTTGTGCCACAAGGGGGCACTGTAGGGAAAAGGCTCCACTTTAAGTTTGCATGTTGATCCTTGTTTTTTTTTTTGCTTGCTTTTGAGGGGGAGAGTGGTTATCTGTTTTATTGCAAGCTTAATACTTTTATATACACCGCTTTTCATGCAATTTGTAAAACTACTCCACGCTGAACTTTTTTTTTTCAATTAGTCCAAAATTTCCATTTTTGTCCCCAAAAAAACCAGAGGGAAAAAAACACATTTTTTTTCTCACTGCTTCAACCTTTCCGGAAATTTTACATCTCTAGTTCACCCTTGTTAAATTGTGTAATGGGGCTGTAGAGAATGCATTGATACTCCCAGTTGGTCCTTGACATACGACCTTCATGTTGTTGTTGTTAGTTGCGAAGTCGTGTCCGACCCATTGCGACCCCATGGACAACGTTCCTCCAGGCCTTCCTGTCCTCTGCCATCTTTGGAGTCCATTTAAGCTCACGCCTACTGCTTCAGTGACTCCATCCGTCCCCTTCTTCTATTGCCCTCCATCTTTCCCAGCATCAGGCTCTTCTCCAGTGAGTCCTTCCTTCTCATTAGGTGGCCAAAGTATTTGAGTTTCAACTTCAGGATCTGGCCTTCTAAAAAGGAGTCAGGGTTGATCTCCTCTAGGACTGACCGGTTTGATCACCTTGCAGCCAAGGGGACTCGCAGGAGTCTTCTCCAGCACCATGTAGGAACTGTCAAAGCGTTGACTGAACTGAAGGAATGGTAGTTAGAACTTGTTCCCAGAGTTCTGACTGTCCTGTCAACCTCACAGTTGCCTGATGGGCAATCTCGGAGTTTGGCAACCTGTTCACACTTGGCAACCCATTCACACCCATTCACGGTGCCCTGTGATCAATAATCGACATTTGCAACTTTCTTCCAAACGTGCTTTTTTTCAGGAGGAAACTGGACTTCCTTGTTTTTCTTGGAAGGCATTTCACTTCTCATCCAATAAGCTTCTTCAGCTCTGACTGGATGGTGGGGAAGGGAAGGATTTATATACCTTTTTGTTTGTTCCTTTCATGCTTTTACCACCCAAGAGCTAGAAATGCATAGCACTTTTATAAATGTATAGCCCTTTTTAATAATAATAATAATAATAATAATAATAATAATAATAATAATAATAGTAGTAGTAGTAGTAGTAGTAGTAGTAGTAGTAGTAGTAGTAGTAGTAGTAGTAGTAAAGTTGGAAGGGATCTTGGAGGTCATCTAGTCCAACCCCCTGCTCAGGCAGGAAACCCTATACCATTTTGGACAAATGGCTGTCCAGTCTCTTCTTGAAAACTTCCAGTGTTGGACCATTCACCGCTTCTGGAGGCAGGTTGTTCCACTGGTTAATTGTTCTCACTGTCAGGAAGTTTCTCCTTAGTTCTAGGTTGCTTCTCTCCTTGATTAGTTTACACCTGTTGCTTCTTGTCCTGCCTTCAGGCGTTTTGGAAAATAGCTTGACTCCCTCTTCTTTATGGCAGCCCCTGAGGTATTGGTTATGTGTAATAGTAATGTATTTCCTTTGATTTTTCTGTCAAAGAAATACTTCTGGCTCTGGGATCGGACCAGAACTCCAGGATAGATGAAGATTTGCCAGCTGAAGGCTTCAAGGAAGAAGAAGACAATTTTAGAGGCAATTTATCCGTTGGCCGGTGGGATCCTGGTGAATCAGGTAACTTGGGTGGGGAGGTGTAAGATTTTGGGGGAAGGCTGGGAAAAAAAATGGATGAGACATTCGATATAAACAATCAGGAGCTGGAACGAATCACAGTTCATAGTTTGTCTCATAAACAGCAACTCAGCTTAGGTGGTAAGAAATCTGGACAGAAACATTTGCAATCCTTCAAAGAGATTCAGCCTGAATTAACTCATCATAAACCAGGCTGGGAAAAATTGTTCTTGCAATTTCCGAGGTGTTATCTTATTCCAAGACTAGCCGAAAGAGGATCTTACTGAAATCTGTGATATTCTTGCCCAGTTGCAAAATCAGTTGGCGTGTGTGGTGACCTGCATACACACACATACACATACAGTGAGGTGCAGTGGCTCAGTGGTTTAAAACGCTGTGGAGAAGCCTGTGCTCCAGCAGTCTGAGTCCTAGCACGGCGTGACAGGGTGAACTCCCGTCACTTGCCTCGAATTCTGCCAACCTAGCAATTCGAAAGCCTGCCACGTGCAAGTAGATAAATAGGTATCACTTCGGTAGGAAAAAATAATGGTGCTTCGTGCAGAAGTACGAACTCAATCGGTGCTAGACCTACTCGAATGTGACACCTGAACGTGAAGCGACATCAGTGGAGAGAAAAAGCCCTGAATGATGCTGCAGAACACTTACGAGCCATTCTGAGTGCGGAGATGGTTTACCCCGCTGGTGCACTTCTGGATAGTGCACAAATATGAACCAAACAGACTAGCAGTCTTAAGCAGCCAAGAAACTACTTTGTATTAACACTATAATCTCCTGGCTATTATACCATTGCCATACACTCACTCACTCACTCACTCACTCACTCACTCACTCACTCACTCACTAACTAACTAACTAACTAACTAACTAACTAACTAACTAACTAGTTAGCTAGCTAGCTAGCCAGCCAGCCAGCCAGCCAGCCAGCCAGCCAACCAACCAATCAACCAACCAACTAACTAACCAGCCAACCAACCAACCAGCCAACCAACCAACCAACACATACATACATTGTTGTTGTTAGTTGCGAAGTCGTGTCCGACCCATCACGACCCCATGGACAACGTTCCTCCAGGCCTTCCTGTCCTCTACCATCTTCTGGAGTCCATTTAAGCTCACGCCTACTGCTTCAGTGACTCCATCCATCCACCTCATTCTCTGTCGTCCCCTTCTTCTATTGCCCTCAATCTTTCCCAACATTAGGCCCTTCTCCAGTGAGTCCTTCCTTCTCATTAGGTGGCCAAAGTATTTGAGTTTCAACTTCAGGATCTGGCCTTCTAAAGAGCAGTCAGGGTTGATCTCCTCTAGGACTGACCGGTTTGATTGCCTTGCAGTCCAGGGGACTCGCAGGAGTCTTCTCCAGCACCATAGTTCGAAGGCCTCAATTCTTTGGCGCTCAGCCTTTCTTATGGTCCAACTTTCACAGTCATACATTGCAACTGGGAAAACCAGGGCCTTGGCTATATGCACTTTTGTTGGCAGAGTGATGTCTCTGCTTTTTAGTATGCTATCTAGATTTGCCATAGCTTTCCTCTCCAAGAGCAAGCGTCTTTTAATTTCTTGGCTGCAGTCCCCATCTGTGGTGATCTTGGAGCCCAGGAAGATAAAATTTGTCACTACCTCCATTTCTTCCCCATCTATTTGCCAGGAATTGAGAGGGCTGGATGCCATGATCTTGGTTTTCATAATGTTGAGTTTCAAGGAAACACAGTACATATATACATACATACACCTGACAAGTTTTATCCTTGGCTTACTGGATAGCAGTTAGTGGCAACATGTAGAACCTAATGTTCAGTACTTATTTCTCTTTGTCTCCTGTTTGTCTCGTCTGCAGTTCACCCCGAATCTCTTTCTCCATTGGTGTCTTTCTCTTTTTGTTCTTGCAGGTGACGAAAAAGAGAATACTACGAATAGCGAAGAGCAGAGCAGAGAAACTCTGCCACATCAGACAAGAAGAAAAAGACCCATTTCACCTGAAATGGTGAGCTTTAATGAATTCCAGGTGCAGCAAGGAGGTTGTGCGGGAAAGAGAGACAACCAAGTTCTGGCCGGAAAGACTGGGGAATTCACCTCTTCTTGTGGAAAACTATTGGCTGAGATCTCCAGCCCTGCAACCCCAAGCAAAGTCCTGGAATCGGAGAGGCTGTGCAAGTGTTTGGAGTGCGGGAAGGGTTTCAAAGACAAGATGCACCTCATGGTACATCAGCGAATCCACACAGGGGAGAAGCCGTTTCAGTGCTCGGACTGCCGAAAGAGCTTCAATCGGAGTCATCACCTGATTGGCCATCAGAGGACCCACTCGGGAGAGAAGCCGTTTAAATGTCCTGAGTGCGGGAAGCGCTTCATTGATAATAGCAACCTCACTAAACATAAACGAATCCACACGGTCGAGAAGCCATTTAAGTGCACAGAGTGTGGAAAGAGCTTCAACCACAGTAGCACCCTCTCCTCCCACCGAAGGATCCATACAGGGGAGAAACCGTACACGTGTGCCGATTGTGGGAGAAGTTTCAGCCAGTGGACAAACCTGAACACGCATCAGCGGCTACATACGGAGGAGAAACCCTACAAATGCTCGGAATGTGGAAAGGGCTTCTGTCAGAGTAGCAGTCTGTCTTATCATCAGAGGACTCATGCGGGGGAAAAACCATATAAGTGCTCTCAGTGCGAAAAGACCTTCACGTGTGCCAGCACCCTTGTATTACACCAGAGGATCCATACTGGGGAGAAACCGTTTGCTTGCTCGGAATGTGGTAAGAGCTTCACTCAGCGGATACACCTAACTCGACACCAGAGAATCCACACTGGAGAAAAACCGTACGAGTGCCCGGACTGTGGGAAACACTTCAGGCAGTGGACAAGTCTTACGACGCATCAGAAAGGGCATACGTTGGAAAAACCATACATATGTTTAGAGTGCGGCAAGAGTTTCTCTCAGAATAGCGGTCTGTCATATCATCAGAAATCTCACGCGGATGACAAGCCGTATAAGTGCTCCGAGTGTGCTAAAAGCTTTGCTTATAGCAGTACTCTCACTTTACACCTGAGAATCCATTCTGGGGAGAAGCCATTTGCTTGCACTGAATGTGGAAAGAACTTTACTCAACGGATACACCTGACTCGACATCAGAGGATCCACACGGGAGAGAAACCTTATATCTGCTCGGAGTGTGGGAAAAACTTCCGGCAATGGACGCACCTTATTGCTCACCAGCGAGTTCACAGAGGAGAAAAACCATGCAAATCAGAGGGTCAATTTCTGGCTTACCAGACGTTGCTGAATTACAACTCGCAATATCCCTCCTCATTTCCCGTGGTAGCGAGAGTTGGTGGCGTTAATAATGCAGCTTCAACTACTGGGTCACCAGTTCCCTGGCCCTGATAGCAGTTGGATTTTTCAGTAGAGAATTAGCACTTAAATTCCATGCTCAGTTAATTTCTGGAACTGGGGAACTATTCGTTCAAACCAATATTTCTACCCCTTTTTTCTAATGTTTTGGATTTTATAGATGGCAAGGAAAGAATCCATAGGCCATCATAAACCAGTCTGGAATGAGGTAGTTCCATTTTACATGAACTACAATCTCAATCATCTCCAAGGCTGATCCAGTGAATAGTGTCAGTTTACAAATGTGTTTTACAGGTAATCCTCAACTTACAACCCCAATTGAGCCCAAAATTTCTGTTGCTAAGGAAGACAATTGTGAAATGAGTTTTGCCCCATTTTACAACTGTTCTTGCCACCGCTGTTAAGTGAACCACTGCAGTTCTTAATATGGTTGTTAAATGAATCTGGCTTCATTGACTTTGCTTGTCAGGTAAGTTGCAAAAGGGGATCACATGACTCCAGGTGACTGCAACTGTCATAAATATGATGTAGGAGATGACCAGGATGAGCCCACGGGAGGAGTCAAACATGTCATAAGTCTCGATTTCCTGCATGCCTGTAAAAGAACTAAACCCAGCCTGCCTTGAATGCCTTTCTTATCTCCTGCTCATTTCTCTTGACCGTTGGTCAGATTCTTGTGGAGAACTTAAGCTTGTAATAAATCTTTATACTCATTTGAACTACCTGCATCTTTTGCTTTCCCCGGCATTTGACATATGAGCCAGTTACCCAGCATCCAAATTTTGGTCATGTGACTATGGGTTGTAAGTGAAAAATGTTCATAAGTCACTTTTTTTCAGTGCCATTGTGACTTTGAACAATCACTAAACAAATGGTTATAAGTCAAGGGTTATCTATAGTCTAGAGGTACAGTTGCTAGGGCATGGGGTACCAAAGGACAGCTATACAGTTGCCTACAATATAGTACAATCTTCAATGAGTAGTAGTAGTATTTTATTACAAACGGTACTTATCACATAAATTCCACCAGTAATAAAAAATAATTTATCTACTTGGATGTCTGTATTTCATAACCGTAAATATCAGCTCAGATAACCTTTATTGTCATTTTTTTTTTACTGTGGGCACACTAGCGCATATTAAAAATGAAATTCTGTTGCTTGCTCTCAAAAATGTACACATACATAACACACACATAAACATGCTATATACAATAAATATGCAAATGTTTTAAATTTAAACTGCTTTAAATTCAGAATGATCTTTGACTTTTTTATGGCCTGTTTGGAGCAAAAACAGCTTGTTCCAAGATTGAGGCAGACCATTTTGGAAACACATATTTTGCACACAGAGCAGGGCTTGAAGTTGGAAATTGATCCTTTTTTATTTTTGAAAGAATGATTTCGTGCTCAAAATACTTCAAATTCAAGCTTGCTCAAATCCGAAACATTTTGCATGTCTGTAGTTCCTCCTATGATGTCAGTATGAAAACTGTGCATTGTTCCCTGACAAATGATTGAACAACCATTTGTCTGAAATGATACAGGACAGGGGTCCCCTACCCCCGGTCCGTGGACCAGTACTGGGCTACGGCATTCCAGCAACCGGTCCGTACAAACATCCATGAGATGCAGGCAGCACACAAAACTACACACCCTCAGGTCCGCGGAAAAACCTCTCTCCATGGAACCGGTCCCTGGTGCCCAAAAGATTGGGGACCTCTGACATAGGGTTTCCTGCTTGTGCAGGGGGTTATACTAGAACAGAGTTCCCCAACCTTTCTGGATTGGTGGCCTGGGGGGGAGGGGGGAAAGGGGATGGTTTTGTGAGAGGGGCAGGCGTGTGCATTCGTGCATGTGTGCACATGAGTACCCGTTGCTCGCACGAGTGGGCAGAGAGCACCTATGATACTTACGTGAGTGGGGCCGCAAGTGCCCGTGACCCTTGTGCGAGTGGGGCTGCAAGCACCCGAGATGCTCACGTGAGTGGGGCTGTGTATAAGCACACGCGTGCACCAGCCAGCCACTCACACGACCCGGTTGTGAATAGGCCATGGACCAGTAGTGGGCCATGGCCCACAGGTTGGGGACCTCTGTACTTGAAGACCTTCAAGGTCCCTTCCAACTCTGTTATTCTGTATTCTCTTCAACCAATTAAAAAAAATAGGATGAATATGCTGTAGTTGAGATGTACTGTACTTAACTTGTGTTTTACTTGTTTTCTTTAATTTCTGTGTAGTTAACACAGTTTGTCTTGAGAATTATTTGGAATTCTTTGTTTCTTCCCCACCTCCTGTCTTTGTGATCTCCTGTCCAAGGATGTATAATAGAGAATATGAAAGTTTGCTGATTGTGTAGTGTTGTTTTGCTCTATCCGAGACAAGAGTTTGTTCTTCTATGGATATCGATTGTAATAAATACATTGGTCTTCACTGTGCCACATGCTTGCTTTCTTTCCTTGTTGGCTTGCAAAACATTCCCAAAGGCAGTGTGAGTCCTTCAGACTAGGAATCCAATATCAGGTAGATTTTATTTCATGTGGCACAACAGAATGCAACATGAGTGCCTAACATTCACAAAAACAGTATATAAAATGGGTATCAAAATATAAAACACCAATACAGTGAATTATTTTAAAAATGCACAATATAAATGATGAGAGGGCTTGGGAAGGATTCCATGGATGAGAATCCTCCAGGGAAAAACAACGCAAGAAGCTTGGGAAATTTTGAAAAGCAAGATTATAGAAGCCCAGTCTACCTCAATACCAACAAAGAGGAAAAATAACAGCTCTCAAAAGAAACCAGCATGGCTGCATAAAGAACTCTCTGACAAATTGAAAGACAAAAAGGACAA